AAAAAAAAAAAAAAACAGTTTCTACTCTCCTTACTTTTGGGAGATTTATTATCAGAAAGTTCACTGAGAGTAAAAATAATGCATGTTAGCACTCATCAACAATTCAACTAAAAAGAATATTTGAATGATTGGAATATGCTTTGCGATCCTTAAAAAAATACTGAAGATATATGTTCTGGTCTCAATTACTAAATATTCTTACCAGAGAATGTTCACTTTCAACTAACTCAAAAGTATTAATATTCCAGTACATTCAATAGGCAATAAGCTCTTATCAAGACGAAAATTTTTAGATTTTACTAATTAAGAAAAAGACTCACTGATACCAATACGTCAAGTAGATATATGTATAATAATCTAATGATACTGCCACTATCTAAAATATTTCAGAATCCCTTATAAGGAATTGCCATCAGTTTATAGTGCACAACTGCTTACTGCTTAAGTACAGGCTGTTTTTCTACCAAAACACAGTGTTGCCTTGATTAAACACCAGTCCCTTGTTATTTCCAAGATTTAAATTTAAACCTTTTCGAGAATGAGAGTGCTATTACTGAGTACAACTGCATGGGATGTACCCCAGACTTTAACCACTTTAAAGTATTGATCACTTAAATGCATGTATTTATTCTGTATTTGCTTAAAATATCAGCAAAATTATTAATTTTCAGTATGAGACTACTAGATAGGCCATGGAGTGAAAAAAGGTAAAAAAATGAAAAAATATTGAACCCTAAATGTAAGAAATCTGTTTTTAAAAATTCTATAGGATAGTCTGAAGACAGAGTTTGTGGCCATTAAGATAATGACTCTCAAGAACCACTAAAATTTTGAAAATTGAGCATAAAAAAAAATCAATATGTTGCCTATCTACCCTGTCTACTTACCAATGAAGAGAAGCTAAAAAGCAGTGTGAAACAGAATCTGATGTTTTGAAAAGTAGTTGTTAATCTTCTCTATGATACAGGGCTTTATTTATTTACTCTCTGTCCCATACAGAGACTCTTATCCTAAGAGGTTTTTCTTTTCTTCCTTCCATGTACTTTAAAGAATGGAAACAAGATGGGCCTTGAAGAACATTCTTTCTATAACCCACTCTTTACCTAGGATATATTTTCCACCAAGATTTAAATTTTCTTATTTCTCTGCTATAGGCCAATTTACCAAACAGAGTAGATGATAACTGCTAAAAAACTCAGATTACTTCATCATTAAGCAGTTATTTAGTGAATCATAATATGACAACACTAATTTTTTGTATAATATTCATAATTATCTAAGTGGTAAATAAAAGTTAATCTAAGCATGGTTCCAGTGATCAGTATTTAAGAGGAAAGAGTTCATGTTACATTTTATTTTGTAATATTATTTGGAAAATATTTTCTTTTAATCAGTGCAATTGAAAATATAAAGCTAGGAAAAATTAAAAAAACAAGTCTAAATGTCAATAAAAAGTTAAAATATTTAAAAATTAACGTTTGGAAAAACAGATTTTGTTCAACATAAAAAATGGCATTTTCAAGAAAATGAGTATTAAGCCCCCCAAAAATACTTAGAAGTCTGTAAATATATAGGACTTGGGGGTAGGGATAAAGGAAGATGGTGGCAGTAATTAAAGAGGATGGCAGATAAAAAATCAAGATCCTAAAGACCTTAGGAGAAAGAAAATAGACAACTAGTCCTCATTGATGAGAATGAGAAAGGGAATTGTTCTAAGGTTTGTTAGAACCCACTGTTTCAAATATGAAATCTTACCATATAGAAATATGATAAACAGCAGCACATTGTCCAAAAAACTGATCCCGTTTTCACAGATTTAACCTAAAAGACAAATAAGCAAATTTTATAATAAAAATGTTTAGAAAGCTGATTTTAAAATGAATTAAATGTTTAGTAAACTTTTGCTATAAAAAGACAAGGTCATTTTTTTAAAAAAAGCATTGAAGTCAACTCTGATATCTAATATCTAACTACCATAATATATGCAGCATTTATAAACTCTGAACAGCTAACATTTTAAGAACTTTTTTGTTATGTAGTTTTCAGTAAAAATAATCACCTTAAAAGTAACAAATTGCATTTTTCACTTTCTACCTTAAAATTATTAAAGAAAAGTTTATCAGTAAATCTACATTTTTGTTTTGATTTGCTTAGATTGAACACCTTAACCTGTTCAATTTGAATTATGTGATCATATATATCTTACATAATTCTGAGAATCCTTTTTTAAAAACATCATTATACTTAGAAAATTTCAAATACCAAATGAATATCCAAAAAAATTTCTATTTCTAAAATATTTTCCAGAATGCCTCATATGTAAGTAAAATTTTCAATTACTCTGAACTAGAGAGACAATTTACAGCGAAAGTTTAAAGAGTTGAAAAATCTCTATTCTTCTTAATTAAGACTGTATCTTCTCTTTCTGTGTCCTGATAAATAAATTCAAATCTAACTGGTCTATACAGTTAATTTCCAAGGGTTCTTTACTTTAAAATGAGTCTCTACTAATACATTTACAACAAACTATGGGTGACATCCAAAACTGTGGGGGAAATTAGGGAAGAAAGTATATTAAAATGTGGATTTAATGGATTGAACCCAACCAAGGTCTTTGCACTGAGCTTTTTGCTTTTTCTCTTTTCCCTTCTCTTCCCCTCCCCTCCCTTTCCTCATCTATCTATCTATCTATCTATCTATCTATCTATCTATCTATCTTGGAGGCAGGATCACCTTTAGAAAATTTTCCTATGCAAATGAGATTATTCCTTTGATATTGTGATCACCAAAATTTTAGAGAAGGGAGCTGGCATCAAGTGGTAGTCCCCAAATCATATAAATACAGAAAATAAAGAAACAAAGACCAAAATACAATTTTTAGGAAAGGTAGTTAGTATTAGGGAAAGGTGGGGGAACAAAGGTTCAGAGAGACCTAATCCTAAGTGGAAACCCTAAAATGTGTCCTTAGAGGGTGAGATGGGCAAGAAAGCAAAAAAGACATGACAAGGGCACAAAAGGCTAAAGCAGAGACAGAATCAAATAATATTAATAGAGAGGGAGGAAAAAAGTTCAACTTAGAACTTCAGAGTAGAGAGAATGGACTATCAAGCAGACTGGAGTAGGAAAAGAAAAATACTGTCAGGGAAAACTTGCAAATAATTATTTTATCCTTTATATTTATATATTTGTCTACCAGTTTTTTTATTGCCTTTCAGCTCTGAAAGCATAATTCAACATGTGTGATAAACAACAGTACTTCTCTAAGTATTTCTTCTTTTACATTGAGTATGCTGTTAAGCTTTCTTGGTAGAGAATACTAGAGGTACACTGTAGAAGAAAGGGCTCTCCTATCACTTCAGGTGTAGGCTGCGAGTTTGCCATAGTAAATGTGAAGGCATGTGGTGAAGCAGACACCAGTCATGGACCCAGAACACAGTCTTTCTGTGATGCACTGATGTGATGTGGTGATGGCCTTTCTGTAGTCTTGACCTGGTAATCAGAGCTCCCATGCCTACTCTGAAAGCCTTCTGCTGCCCCTGATCCATATATTCCCACTGCATGCCACTGGTCTCCAGTTCCCTCTCCTTCAGAGTGCAGTCTATATCTTAGGTGGCACAGCTCCAAACCATTTCCATACTGGCCAAACCCTTAAGCAACTCTGCTGTCAATGAGCTGAGCTCCATCCTATCCTATGAGTTCTCAACACCTACCAAGTTTGTTCTTCCTTGGGTATTCTCCCTCAGCCATAGGAAACCAACAGTTTCCTTCTGCGTTACTTTTTTTTACCACAGCTGACATTTCTTTGTATAAAACTTCCCTTATTTAATCTGTTGTAACTGTTTCTCATTCTTCACTGGATCCATATTACAAAGCTGATCATTTTATGACAGCCAGAAAGCAAGAGCACAGATAGTGTGCATACCTCCAGTGACCCATCTTTTCCAACTTGGCCTACTCGTAACAGCACATTCAGCTATGAACATCAGTGGATTAATTCACTGATGAGTACAGCACCCCCATGATCCAGTCACCTCTCTTAGTCCAATCAGACTGGCAATTAATATTAACTGGAACACCTAATTCAAAAACCCATCTCTGAGTGATTAGGAGTTTAATAATCATTCGAATCTTCACATCTTAACCAGTTAATGTATCTCTTACTTTATAAAATTGTGATGATTAAATTACAAACAAAAAACAAAAAAATCAAGCCTTATGTATAGTACCCATAAGACATTCGACTCCTTTTATTATTTTTGAGGCATTTTGAAGGAACTACTAAACTGAAACATGAGAAATTAGATTAAGACAAAGAAAAATGGGGGGGGGTTGGGATCAACAAGTGGCACTCCAGTAGAAAAAAAATAAAAGAAGCTGTAATCATACTGAGAGGTTTTAAAACAAAGCTAATTAGTTTCCCCAAATCAAATTCCATTATATTATGAATATGATCCCCAGTATTGAAAAAAATGTATATTATAAATAAGTTTAATTTTCTGAATTATCAGCTACAGGCCAGCAAGTGCAATTTATTAAATTAATAAAAACAAAACATCTTTCCCTCCAAAGCTAGTTGATATGAAATGTTTTTATCAGAGAAAAATTTAAAAGACTAACATAAGAGACATGTCTGGCTATAGAGGTATGAAGTTCAGATTCCTCAATGAAGGTGAAAGAGGAAAGAGAGATAAAACAGATAACCATTTGAGAAGCTTGCAATCAATCAACTGCAGACAAATAAATTGAGAACCGTGGTCTTCTTGCTTGGGGCTGCTCCAAAAGCATAACTTCACCACTCAACTTGGTTGACAAAAATGGTAGTTTATTCAGTCTAAGAATTGACAAAAAATCTGCTGCTTTGTTCCTCAAGGAAGAGGACTTGATGCAAGGTTGGAGCTGGGGAGAATGAAAACAACAGCTGTGTCGGCTAAAAACAAATAAACCCAGGAACAAATGGAAGAACAGCAGACTAGTCAGAAATCAATGTGATAATTCTGGAAATGAGATGAACATTTGAAAAAGCTTAGATAAGGTCTCTACTGATCTCTGTTGACAGAGAAGCTATATACATATAAACAGAAGACTGGAGAAAACTAGGGAAGAGAAAAAGCAAAGGAGTTATAATTTTGAATGCATTCATCATCCCATAAACAGATCAATCTACACAAGTGGAAGCTTTATGGGTCCAAGTGTTTGAACATAAACTCTGCCCAAATCTTTGGCTGACATAAAATCTATACAGATACAGGGGTGATCTTTAGGAATTCAAGTTATAATACAAAAGTAAATAAAAATAACTGAGCTGACACATCAATGTAAATGGACTTCTAGGAGTGACAGATTATACAATTTGAGTCTAGAAACTAACATATATCGGAAAAAATGAAACTGAATACAGTTACATTATATAAAATGACGAGCCTTCGCTAAAAATTATAAGATATGCAAAGAAATAGGAAAGCATGATCCATACTTGAAGCAGTAAAAATAAGGATGGGGATGTACTCAGCAGGAACTACCTATGAACAGAGCCACACATCAGGTTTAGAGGACAAAGACTTCAATCAGCTATTATTAACACATTCAGAGAAATAAGGGTACCATGTTCAGAAAATTAAAGGAAAATATAAAACCGAATTTCAGTAATCAAACAGAGCATATGCTCTTATATACACATGTGAAATAAGAACCAAACAAATCTTGGAGTTGAAAAATTCACTAACTAGGCATAAAAACAAATTTGAGATGACAGAAAACAGTGAACATGGAACTGATTAACAGAAATTAACCAATCCAAAGAACAGAGATAAAAGTCTAAAATGAAGCACTATGAAAACAAAAACATTTTAAGAAACAATTTATAACTTCCCAAATTTTATAGTAAATATTACTATGGCTCCATGAAACCCAACAAATCACCAAATATAATAAACAGAGAATGACATCCAGATTCATTGTAGCAAAAGCGCTGACAGATCAAGAGAAAATTTTAAAAAGAGAAAGAAAGAAAATATGCGTAAGGAAACAATGTAAATAACAGCTGACTTCTCAGAGGAGGAAAAAAAAAAGAGGCAGTGGAATGACATGTTCAAAGTGTAGAAAAGAAAAAAAGTGTCAACCCTAACTCATCTCTATGACATTATCCTTCAACAATGAAGATGGGAAGATTCTGGAAAGATGGTAGAGTAAAAAGCACCAGAAATCTGCTTCCCATCTAGACAAGAACTGCATGGTAGAAGCTATTTTTGAATTTTGGAGCCTATAGGCTGTGTCCTACAGGCAGTGGGAAGACTTGGGGCAGTAAATTAAGATTAATTTTGGTCAATTTTAGCTCTCAGCACAGTAACAGCCACCCATACCTCACCTATCATTTAGCTCTGTGGCAGACAGCTGGTTCCTGGAGCAGCCTGAACATAGCTACAGAAGGTGAAGTGTGCAAAAAGAACCTTGCCTTCCAAGTATCGGGAGTGATACTGACTATTGCTTCTAATCATACAAGTGCAGATAGAGGCTGGTGACTACTGCTGTTGCCCCTCCCATCATGGCTGATGTGACTTCCAGGACACTAAACTGCTGGCCCTTTTCCCTTTCGCTTTTCTACTGTGTTCTCCTTTCAGAAGCCATATAATGAAACTTTGTCTTACAAAAGGAACCACATATACAGAAGACATAAGAAAGTCACTATGCACATAAAGGAAAGATGCAATTTTTTAAAATGGCCAATAAACCACATACAAAATGATGGGCAACATCACCAATCATTAAGGAAATACAAACCAAAACTATGAGATTCCACCATACCCATTATGACAGCTACTATT